CCCCGTAGAAAAAATCCGCCCAAAAAAAAAAAAAAAAAAAAAAAAAAGAAAAGAAAAAGAAAAGAAAAGAAAGAAAACTAATGTAGGAAATCTTAACATATCACAAAGTGCTTCCCCTGGGACCAGCAGTTAGCATAATGGCTATGTCGCTGGACTCCCATGTAGTCGACCACAGTCCAAGTCCCAGACCCAGTGGCTTAAACTCACGCCAGACGCGTGTGCATGCGGGCCCAAGATCCTGAGAGGAGAATGAAGGAGAAGGGATTGCGGCGTGGTCATCCCCCCTGAGGGATGATTTCTCGCTTTCTGTCTCTCTGTCTCTCTCTGTCTTTCTGGAGAGCGTACGCGCCCTATAGCAAAAACCTCTCAAAACCAAAAAAACAAACCAACAAAATAAATCAAAGTGCTTCCCCCTTATTTTTCTTATGCATTATGTTTCCTATTAATAAAAATTCCCAAGTTAGAGTTAGTTTATTTTTAGCTTTTTTACCAAACTCAAAGTGGCTTTAGAAAACTGCTAGTGATAACAAACGGAGACCAGGGAAACAGTTACCCTCAAAACATAATCTGTCTCAGTTCCACTCCTCTAATGGTAAATTCTCTTCTTGTAAGTTAGAAAATATGAATAAATAAAAGTAGAACTCCCTTTATATTTTACATCCCATCCTTTGTTTTATTGGCCTTCCTTTGTAGGCAGAGTGAACAAATTTCTCTTTGGTGTGCCCTCTGTGACAATAGTTCTCGAAGTGTGTCCCTGAGTAGCGTCATCAGTGTCCTTTGGGACTTGTTAGAAATGCCGATTCTTAGCCTCTAACTCGGACCGACTGAATCTGAAACTCCAGGATGAGACAAGCAACATGTGTTTTAACAAAACCCTCTGGGTGATTTAGGTGCGTGCTCAAATGTGAGAACTGCCACCCCAAGGCAAAGATCTTAAAACCAAACCTACCCAGGGGCCAGCAGTTAGTGTAATGGCTATGTTGCTGGACTCCCACATAGTTGACTGCGGTTTGCGTCCTGGACCCGGTGGCTTAAAACTCACACAGGGCGCGTGTGCGTGCGTGCCCAAGGCCCTGAGAGGAGAATGGAGGAGAAGGGATTGCGGCGTGACCATCCCCCCGGGGGGTGATTTCTCGCTTTCTGTCTCTCTGTCTCTCTGTCTGGTGAGCGCACGCGCCCTATAGCAAAAAAAACTCTCAAAAAAATCTACCCTAAATATATTGTTTTCTGCTATTTTCTCTCCCCAAATGAAGTTGAGTCACTCAATCTGACATCAAATCATAGACGTGTCTCTACTACTCTATGAATTGTTTTACTTCATATATGATCATTCTGCATTTTATACACCTTCTTCTTCCTCTCCCCCTTGCCTCCCATTTCATGATCATTTGGCCAGTAGGGATAAGATCTGAATGAAGGGAAAACTATGCCCTGGCGAATAGCAGAGACAGATATGGTGGATGGCAAACATGAAGGAATAGAGAAAATGAAGAATAGAAAAGCCACAGGGGATGGAGAGGCGTCAACGGTATATATCCCTCGGCTGCAGCCATAGCTTCCATGGCCTCCATTCAGGCATTTACCATCCTCCAGTGGCCCCACTTTCCCACAGGTCACCTACCCTTGAAACCTTATCTTCTTCTTCAAAATGCTTCTGCCAATTGTAGCTGTCCACTGAATTCTGCCTTTTCTCCTTGGGAAGTTCTCTTGCATCTTTGTTCATCAAGTGTGAGCTCTGCGCTAGTCTGCTTTCCTCATTCAAAGGAAAAAGGATCATAGATCTCAAGAGGGCTCGAGAGTGAGTGTTCCCGTGATCCCCTCTAACCATCTTGGACTGCCAACATGGCTTTCTA